GTAAAAGAGGGTATCATTTTTGAATCCGTATGTGTATACTAATATATACAGGTAGTCCTTGTTTAGAGACTGCCTCATTTAGAAACTGTTAGCAGTTACAACAGTGATGAAAAAGTAACTTTATGACCAATCCTCACATTTATAACCTTCACAGGTCTCTAAAGCAAAGGAATGTGGAGGTAAGATCATAGCTAAGTTTCACTTAGCAACCACTTTGCTTAATTACCGAGTTGCTGGTCCCAGTTGTGGTTGCTAAATGAGGACTACCTGTATTGTGGAGTGCATTGAACCAAGGAGTTCCTAATTATAGCATGATACATCATAAAGGCTAAGTAATGAGCTACAAATCATTCCTATAAGAAAAGGAAATATTGCAGCTTTACTAATGTTTTCAAAGAAATATCCATAGTAGAATCTTTTGGTACCTTAGAATTTTGATATGAGGTGTCCTGATTGTAGGTTGTGTCCATTTTATCAGATGAATGGAAAGTACTGTGAAAGGGATTTTACAGGTAGATACAATGGTAGAAAAATAAGGAAAGGGACCAGAACTTAGTAGACAGTAATCATAAATAATGCAAGGCTCTCTGGAGTTTATCTGAAACATCAATTATCATGTGTGTTTTTGGTTTTCAGACTATTTGTCTGATGAAGTAGACATGATCTACAAAAAAATATGTAAAAATAAATTGGCCAGCATTATAAATTTTAAAGGGTTTTAAAAACTATAGTACAAACAATGGCTGCAAAATGCTGACTTAAATGGGTGTCCTGAGAAATTATTTTAAAACCAACAAAAATAAGCTAACCAGTATACATACAACCAAACCTTTGTTGCAAGCATTCATTAAGTACAGCCTGGCAGTATAGCTTTGATGGCTCTACACATGTAGAACTAACTAGGTAGTATAAACGTGGAATTCCATTTGGGATGAGGGTGAGGACTGTTGAATATTTCCTGTGGCACCATTCCACCATTATTTCTAGAGAATCAATAGAATAATTATATGGTTTTACTGGTATATGTCTCTTTTAGACATACTTGGAGGAAAAAAAAAGCCAAATAGCAGGCAGTACAGGAGGAGGTTTAATTGGGCCATGCAGACCAGTGAAATGGCTCTTAAATTTTCTAATACACCTAAGAGGATTTTACTTTAATTAAGAACTAGCCTTTGGCAGTAAGAAATGAAATGATTTGGTCTATTCAGAGTTTGAAATACTCCAAGGAATTTTATCTACTTAAATTAGACCAACACTTTAAACAATTCTAGCAAGAAATGCTTGGTGCAAAAAAAAAAAAAAAAAGTCAAATGTATAAGATAACAGAAAGAAGTTGAAAGTTTTTCCATCTAAAGAAGAAATCTTAGTTATGATATCAAAATGCTATAAAAAGTTAGAGGCTATGTTCACACATCATGCTATACCATAATTTGCTTTAACCATAGCTTATAATTGATTATGTGCCATCAAGTTGGTGTTGACTCTTAGCAACCACATAAATACATTCTCTCCATGACAATCTGACCCTACCCTGGTCCTCCAGGTCTTCCAAAAGTGCACTCATTGCCACTGTAATTGAATCCGTCCACCTTGCTGCTGATCATCTTCTTGTTCTCTTTCCTTCCACCTTTCCCAGCATTAGAGCCTTCTCTAGAGAGCTAGGTCTTTGCATAATGTGTTCAAAGTAGGATAATTTGAGCCTGGTCATTTGTGGCTTGAGTGAGAACTCTGGGTTGATTTGTTCAATGATCCATTTGTTTACTTGCTTGGCTGTCCACAGTATTTTCAGGAGTCTTCTCCATACCAAAGTTCAAAAGTATCAATATTCTTCCTAGCCTGCTTTTTGAAAGTCCAACTCTCACTTCCGATAGAGCGTCACAGGGAATACAGTTGCTTACACTATTCTGATCTTTGTAGGTGTAAACACATCATGGCATCTGAAAATCATTTCCAAGGCCTTCATGGCTGCTGTACCAAGTACAGTCTGTGGTGTATTTCTTGACTGCTTGTTCCCTTACTGTTGATGGTTGATCCTAAAAAGTAGAAGTTATCTACCACTTCAGTATCTTCACTGTCAGTTCTAAGGCTGGTTGTTGTACCTGTTGTCATTAGTTTGGTCTTCTTTATATTTAATTTTAGTCCCATTTTTTCACTGTGCTCCTTGACTTTTATCATTTTTTTAGGTAAACCAAACATAAACCAGTGGCTGTATTCACCTGATGTGGCAAGTCAGGCTCATTTGTTATTGACCACTCTTTCCCATGAACAAATGTGGTTTAGAAACAACTTTCTCTGGCTTGTTTAGGACTTACTGCATCATCCCCCAGGGACTTCCTACTGAGAATGTCTCCATAAACAAACTTCATACCGTGGAGACACTTTCTCACTCCCACAGATGCACTGCATTCACATCTTATATAAGGCTTAAACAAGATGCTAACAGCTGTTTACAAGCTCTGTAGCTTGGAGGGGTAGAGTCATCAGACAGGTGAATTTGCCAGTAATGAACAGGCCTAGTTTTTAGTATCTTCAAAGAATGAGCTTTGCAGAGAAGTAAAGTAAACATGGCTGGCTTAGCTAATTTTTAATTGGTTTTTCCTGCTTTTTCCAAACTCCTCTGCCATGGACCTCTGTGGGTTGGTGGTTAGAGGAGGCTTGGGCCAGGTCCCAACCCAAATATAAAATAGACAGTAGCATTCAAGTTATGTTTCAGAAATACATACAGCAGCATAGTTTCAGTTTCTCATTGGTTTTATGCCTTTTGCATAACAATGTATAGCTCATTGGACCATTGAACCTGGTGGATAGTGGTAGATGACAACAGCAGTTAGCAGGTTTTTCCAACCCAAGAGACTAAAGAGAATTTGGGATTTCAGAGGCAGTATTCTAAGAAATGTCTTTAATCTATATAGTGCTGGCCTTACAAGGTGGTCCAGACAGGAAGCACGCCCAGATGAACTAATTCTACTTTATTGTAAGGTTACATTAACAGAATCTTGCAAGTCTGAAAGTACGCTTCTCCCCCGCCAGCTTTACAGCCCAAG